AACCAACACCTTGAATTGGACCAGGAAGCAAACTGGCACCCAATGCAGCTCACAGAGCAAAGGCGTTATATGTGCTGATCTTGATGCACCTAAAATTGCCCGCACAGCCACATTCTGGATGAATTGAAGCTTCTGGATACTCTTCAAGGGTAGCCCTATGTAGAGTACATTACAATAGTCTATATGGGAGATGTCCAGGGCATGAGTGACTGAAGGGCCTCAATACAATACCATATTTGTATGGTTACCATTCAGCTATACTGTTGACTCTAAAAAACTAAAATGGGGATATTTTATATTAGCTTGCCTTGAGGAAAGTTGATTTCCCAATTATTGGGCCAAAGATCGGAATGCAGTGAAACATTGATTCTGGAAGATCAGAAGTTTTTGCCTCCACTTTGCTTCTAGTAGTTTACTTTCTGGTCTTTCCTGGATCATTTACTAACCAGAGCACTTTATAAATGTTGAGCATTTCGTTCCTTATTTGCCCAATTTGGGATTTCCAGGACTAGCTGGTTAAAGTCCGATTTCTTACGAAGACAGCAGAGCTTTTAATATATCTACTTGCTACTACACAAGTGGAAAGTAGCCAAGCATCCAGGCATGTCTGCAATTCATTTTGTATTATGATTTAATGTCTAACTGGCTGCTGTTTTTTTTTAAATAGATATCATTTTCTGCTTACTTTGCCTTTTTTTAAAAAATGTGAATGTTATTTTTAGCTATCTTGGGGTTATTTTTGAAAAGTCAAATGCATACTTTAAGGCCCTTTTCCTGCACCAGACTATACAGCTGCCACTTTCATTCTTTCCTTAGTAGTCTGTCATGGAAGCTATTACTAAATTCTAGCTGCCTTTTCTGGCTCTCTTGGATTTCTAATCCCATCCTTCTAGCCAGCCTAAGTTTGCCCCATCCCTAGTTATATCAACTGGCTCACAAGAGAGAGCTTCAATGGCTAACTGCAGGCTGATGAAAAGCCCCACAACGGTACCCAAGAGTCAAGATTGTTTGCTCTAACCACCCAGCATAGGGCCTGCTATCTCTGGTCATGAAAGATGGCAGCCTGATCCTAGAATACAGTCCGGGTCAGATGTGTAAGTTCGGGGGGGAAAAAAAAACAGGTAAAAAATGGGGAAGGAAATGTTGCCATCACAAACATATTCAAGCATTCTCTTGGAGTGGGAAGGACCAAGGTGTGCCTACTATCTCCACCCCTTCCTTCCACAGGTTTGCTGGCTCCATCTCTTAGCCTTGCCTTCTTGAGAGGGACAAATTCATTGGTGCAAGCAAGAACTCTTCCTCAGCACCTGCCAGGAACTGAGGGCAGCTGGTCCTGGTCCTGGTTTCAACCTTCCCAAACGTACATAAGCAGCTACAGCCTGTGGTTTTTCAAGAAAACATTCAGATGGAAATGAGTAAGGCCCCGAATGACTTTCTGTCAGGTGAATGTCAGGTACAGCTATGCTCAGCTTTAAAAGTCCATTTAAATGGGTGTGGGGTAATGCAGCAGTTACATATGCCATCACAGTAGGTCCTTCAAGGTCCCTAGGAAATTATTGGTTGTTATGGCAAATTATGGTCAATCTCACATTCTGGTAACAAGCAGCACTCTTGCAGCCACCTCCTTACAGCCTGAGAACCCAGGATGTTGTTTGACTCATCTCAGCCCTAGAAAACAGCTAGAACTTGGCTGAGCCGAAATATCTGTGGCAGGTGATAATAGCTGCGTTACCATCAAAATCCTCTGCTTCTCCAGCTTCTTTTTCTACTAGTTCAGTCTGAACTCTCTCTTGAAATGTTCATTTCACTCTCTCCTAGAGAAAAAATGTTCCTACTGTTGGGGAGCAGCCAGGGTTTCATAGTCCCCATCAGATGCATCCCCCTTTAAGTGGCTGTTCTGCCACACCAGAATATCCAGAATGTATTTGGGCTACAGGCTTGTCCATCTGGACCCACTGTCTTTGTCATTCTCCTATGAAGTGTCGTCTTTGGATTCTTTCTGAGCATTTGGGGTTCAATGAAAAGTGCTGAACAGGCTACTGATTGCCACAGAGTATATCCTCATCTGTCCTGGCCCTGTGATGGGCAAAAAAGTTCAATGTACATGGGCACGCTCTCCCCTAATTTTAACTTCACAAAAACAATACTAGGAGGTAGGCAAAGTAAAGAGAGAGTGACTGGCACCAGTAGGCAACTGGGAACTTGAAAATCTCCAAACTTCTACACTTTAATTACTATATTACACTGCCCTGGTTTTCACTACCTGAGTGACATTCAAATACAAACCACCTGTTAATTATATTCTTAGACATTTAGAAAGGCAGTTTGTGAAAGTAGGTTGCTCTGAACTTAAACAAACTGCCAACAGTTGTAACATACTATTATCTGTTATAGTTCTCATTTATCTGTTATATTTCTCATCTATCCTGGATAGTGGATGGGTGGGTTGGTTGGTTGGTTGGTTATTTTTTTGTTTGTTGTGTACACACACCAGGTAAACTACAAAATATCCAGCAAAAAGGCCTATTCACAGCAGAAATTTAGCATGGCTAGATGATGTTCAGATCCAATAATTTCTGATCACCATTGTAACAAGACAAAATTTGGCTACCTTTTTAGATAGTCTTTTTAGAGACTTTGTGGTCCTGATTGTTTAATAAGAAGCACGCAGTTGCCTGTTGAGACTGGTCTGGAGAGTCTGTGATTACAGGAGGGATTAACTCCTATTAATCTCTCAGAGTTGTGATGGAATCAGGCAATTTACAAGTTAAGTAAATGTGATGGAATGTGAGGGTGGCCTTGGAAGAGGGGGCGGGGGAGATGCTGCCTAGGGAACAATCAGATAAAAGAGAAGGGAGTCTGCAACAGGGTAACAGCCAAAGAAGGAAATTTAGGAAGGATCCACCCTAACTGATAAGGCAGTAAATAGGGAGGGCAGAAGATTTTTACTTTGACTTGCAAGATTCTGTTAATATAGCTTTACATTAAAGTAGAATTAGTTCATCTAGTCTTGTTTCCTGTCTGGTTCACCTGGGCGGGCTGACAGTAAATAAATAAAATTCATCCTCCAATGGTGATAAATAGGGTATTTCACAAATATTGGTGCAATTGTCTCAATTTCAATATCTGAACATATACATACACAGTATCATTGATAGGGGATATTATTAAATCTTGTCAGTATCCCTGAGGGCAGACTAACCATGCCAATGTGAGTTCCCTTTTATCTGATGGCTCAAGTATATAACAAAAATGTTTGGGAGTGGTGAAAGATGAGTATGTAAGCATATTGTAGCAGAAGTATGAGATGATAAGTCTATCCCTTTGTACATCAAGATTGAGGATTCCCTACTTAATGATGGATTGATTGCTTATGTGCCATCAAGTATAGCAACCACATACTGTAAACAGATTTTCTCCATGACAATCTGTCCCTAACCTGGTCTTTCAGGTCTTCCAACAGTGCACTCATCACCACTATAACTGAGTCCATCCACTTTGCTGCAGGTCATCTTCTTCCCTTTCTTTTTACTTTTCCCAGC